AATTCAAAGATAATTTCTAATACAGCATTACTATTATTATTTTGGAGGTTGCAAGACGTATTAAATTACTTAAAAATGAAAAATAATTACATGATTCGATTTCGAGACTTATTTTATATCTTAAAAATAATTAATTATATCCCGGGATTCAGATCACTTTTTTCTCGAAATCCGGGGACAAGCAAAAGACCGGAAAATGAGAAATCCTATCTCCTACCCCGAATCTTTCCATGTCTGGTCTCGACTTTCGTCTGTCTAACTCCGTTCTCGAGATCAAGGAAAGAGAGGCGACAGTGCGAGTTTATAATCTACAATTTTTTCAAATTGCAGCCCAATGATATACAGATCATTATCGGACATCATCAAAACGTATTAACTAATTTAACATATTTTTGATATATTTTTCAATTAAAATCAATTTTCAATTACACACTAATGAAAATTAAAAATAAGATCCCTTTATCCAAGTTTAATGAAATTATACAAGTCTTTATTTGTGTCAAATTTCACTAAAAAAAACCAATAAAATGAAAACTGTTTATTGAAATTTATAGTAAGTGTGACCACCTTTGGCAATTATGCACTCTACTGTAAGTTGAAATTTAGTAAAGTTATCTAATGTCTTCTTGAGGAATCTCTCTCCAGTTCTACTTCATTTGTCAATCTTGAAGTAATGTGTATATCATATCCCATATACAGTAGACCCCCCATAACACTGTTGATTTTTCCGTTTTATACGAATTCCAACAGTGTTATAGGGGGGTCGACTGTACGTTCAACTGAAGACTGATTAGCCATTTCATTATCTCAATTGCATCAAAAACATTCTGTAACATGATTGCAATAAGCAAATAGGCATTGCCTTGTTAAAAAATTCTACTTTCAACAGTGAGAGTACAGTGAGAATAAAATATTCAATTATACTAGCACTATACAGTCGACCCCCCTATAATTACGATTCCTATAAAACTACGAAAAAATATACGTATTTTGGAAATGTTGAGTCAGATTAGTGTAGAATCGATTAATTTTATGGAATAAAACCTTTCAATCAGCCGTAGTCCGTAAACTTGACACGTGTCGGGCTGTGATTGGAACGACTTGTAAGAAATCGGATTCCTAATAAATTGGAACGTATCTATATCTTATAGGGGGTCGACTGTAATGGCTTTTCCTTTTTCGCTAGACTTATTACACCATTAGTCAGAGAGGACAAACTTTAGAAAATCATATCTTTATTTCCTTGAGGAGTATGCGTTTCGAACATTAAGTCACTTTTCAACTCCCATGTGGTATAAATGATTATGAGTACAGGAAATTGCGATGATGGATACAATATGGATGATGATTATTGATTAACAGGTATTTGAGCAAATACAACGGTTCGATACATAATGTTGTAAGGCAAACAATATACATAATAAAGTACACAGTTAAAACTATAAAATTTAAAACCGTGACATTGTATACTGTAAAACTATTAAAGTAACAAAATAGAATGACGAAGTAAAATAAGTGCACCGTTAAAATAATAAGAATAAAAAATATTTTACTGTAGAATCGTAAACTATGAAACGATTCACAGAAATAAGAAAAAAATATTGCAGAGAATAAAAGGTACGATCTTACCACACAATCCAATACTTACATTGTTGTGCCATTGAAGAAAAATTAGGCCTGATTTACTGACATATAACACCAAATGTTGCAAAGGAATGGTGTTCAACAATTACAACCGATAGAAAACTGGCCCATTGAAAAATAATTCTTTGTCTCCTATCATTTTGATCCAAACAAAAACTCATTGCTTGACACAACCCGATATCTATATTGGACAAATGAATGCTAAGTTCTAAATTATTTAAGTCTTAATTAACAGGCCAATGAGTTTGAATTAATGGAAAACTTTACTAGGTTTTATTCAAATTTCAACAAACAATAGTCTATTACCACAGTGCTTCTAAACGTTTTTATACTTGCGCCCACCAAATATTTCATTTTTTTGTGACCCTCCATTTTTTAATAATTTATATTTGTTAAATTATCTATAATAAATTGATTTTTTTATTATTGCTTTATTTTTTTATATAATAAATGTAAAACATAACTTTATTATTTCATTATCTATTTAAATAACATTCAAACTTCACAATTAAACATAGAAACTCATTAATTTCTAAAAAAAAATAAACATTTAAAAATTCATAGAAAAAACAAAAAAATATTTGAAAATAATCAACTAATTTGTTAAAAAAAAAAACTAAATACGAAAACTTTATCTTTCTTATTTCACTTTTCAATACGATATTCGATTATACATCAATTTTCTTATTATTATATTCTGAAGGAAATTTTACATAATTTGGCGGTCCCCTGGCAAATTTCTCATGCCCCTGTTAAGAAACACTGTATTACCAGGTGACTCTTCCTACGACCTGTTTGAGCTGCCATTTGAAAAAATTGTAGACCTATAAATTCCCACTGTTGTCCATCTACCCATCTTTCCTTAATCTCGAGAACATGGTTAGATAGATGAAAGAGGAGACCAGATACGGAAGTGTTAAGAAAAATGTAATTTCTCATTTTTAAATTCTGTCTAGTAATGTCATTTGTATCATAAAATTTAATCATTATATTTATTAAAATCTTTTCTTAATTAAATTTGTTTACCAGATTTTAAAAATAAATTTAACCAGATCTTAATTAAAAATTTTAAAATCTTAGATTGTATCTTTAAGACTAAAAATAAACATATGACTTGAGTTTTTAACTATAAAATACAGAATGGAATTTATATTAAGTGTAAAACATTTATAGTTTACTTGGGAAGTTATTTTTCTGGAACTTAAAAATGTTCAAAATATTTAAAATTAGTTTTACTATATGATAATTATAAATATAATCAATATGAGAAGAAAAAATTCACATCTACACTGGTACAATTGGCACTATATATTCACCAGTGAATACATTTAAAGCCTGTATAATGATAGTAACTAACACTAATACTACAAAGTTGAGGTGTAATTTGTAATAAAGGGGCAGTGTTTTAGGTTAGTTCCTGACATAACAAAAAAGAAAAGACAAATACAGTAATTATATTTGTTACAATATTTAAGAAATTCATTAAAGAGAAAGAATATAGAAATATCATTAAGGGAAACTGTTCTTTGTGCAGACAATTTAAATTCTGCAACATGTATTTGTGGTGAGACTTTCCAAATTTATTGCTAAATGGCATCCATATGTTTGTAATATGAACTTTGGCAAGATAGGGCAACCACACGGACAAAGACAGTAGTAAACCAATTTTAGGGATCTTGTTTAACTTTTTCAGATGACACTTGCAAGATCCTCACTCAGCATGTTTTGTAACATTCCAGTCAAAACTAAGCTGTGAAGAATTGCATATATTGGGGTGCATATAGGTTCCTGTTGTTTTCAAATCGTGAGTTTCATCACTCACTCACATCTTCATTTCCACAACTGACAATACAGACATATCTGGTAGTGGAAAGTGTCCTCCACTGGTAGAATGGATTTTATGTTATAACAGGCTTGCATCAACATTGATCTTTTAAAAATTAATCATTATTAAAGCTGTATTTATACCATTAATAAGTTTTCTAGGTGGAAACCAATCTCCAAACTGCCATTGTCAAAATATTGCCTGAGTAGAAGCACACAATGATTGTATCTGATGATGAACTTGCCGCATATCACAAAGGAAAAATTGTTTGTAGGTATTCACAATCACAGATAAAAAGAATTATTTAGTTGACATAAATGACATATGCCAAGCTTCTGCCACCAATACCTCATTTCAAAATGCAAATTATCCAATTGGATGAAATTTCTTCATCCAATTGAATAATTTGCATTTTTGAAAAGCTTTTTTTTTGGGAACCCCACTTTTGATATTGACAAATTGATTGCTTCAAAAGTTGGGCAATGAAGAGTGCTGTGGCATTGTATAATTATATTTGTTCACTATATCTTCAATTCACAACAAATAATTGTAAAACAAAGATTCAAGATGTATAATAGTCTCCCCTACTGTTAAACTTAGAAATAATTTAATTGAAAAATATTATTAAATAAACAAATAATTTTATTTTACTTGTGTTTTTTTATTCTGTAATTATTTTATTTCTAATTAAGAATTAATAATTATATTTATATTTCTGGGCACAAATAAATTTAGTATTGTCTATTATTAATTGTATAATGATTTCATCAATAATTTTGAATTTATTTGCTTGTGTTAATATATATTATAAAAAATTATACATATATTTATTGAAAAAAATAACTTTATTTTGAAGAATACTTAATACAGAACACAAAAAATATTAATCAGCAAATCCAATAAATACAAACCCTCAGAAAAATTTCTGAATATTTTTATATTACATTAGATCTAAACATAATCTCTCCCATTATATATGTACAGGTAACCCCCATATAAAGCGGCACTTCTATAGCACGGATTTACTCTAACACAGTTCAGGTATTGTGTAAAACCCTCGTACAACATGAAATGTAATAAAGAGTGCGTTCTTTTATACCTCCGCACGAGCATTCTAATTGTTTTCGTGGCTACTTTGAATGCTCTTTCAACAAATAATCTATTTAATGGTTAAATTTTACAATTGGGACCCTTCTTTTGCCTCTAAAAGCTCATTTTAGAATTATTGATTCCTCCATCACGATACTAGCAATAGTGCAAGTGCATCTTTCTTTCACCGTCGTCCCTAAATGCCTACAGCATTTAGCAACCCAAGCAGTGCACTCCATTGCAGAGCGACCCCTATTAACGAACACACCCAAAAACTGTTACCAGTTGATGATGTTCATGCTGAGATCATCATATAGGATGAATAATCCTCTGGTAAAATATTTACTTAAATAATAAATAAGTATTTTACCTATGGAAAAAATGAATAATAATTCCGATTTACATAAGGTTTTAACAACATATTTTTTAATTTTTGGAACCTAACTCCCCCTTTTGCACTAGTTCTTTGTTTCATATAACACAATTTGCATAACATGGCAATTTTTTAGAACATAACATAACATACAGGGGTTACCTGTATATACATATATACTTTAATCAAATGTACAAAGCACTGGAATTCTGCATGAATAAATTTCACTGCAAAATATACAAAATAATGAGAATCTATCCATTTGTACGATTAGTTTCAAAATATTTTGATTATATGAAAAGTCATTTCTCCTTGATTGGGACCAGAAAATGTCATGGAAAAAAGAATACATTTAAAATTAAGTATAGATATTCTCTTATTATTCATTTCTTTTTATTTATTTCATGGGAAGATTGTTTTAAATATTATGATTGAAATTCTGCATTTTTTCCAATATGTACAAATTAGAAGGAAATATTTACAATGAACTAAATATATTTACAATTTTAATTCCAAGTTAAATATATTAAATTTATAATTGAGCTCCTTAAAATAAGGAGTCATTTTTATATATATATATCTCTATTAAAAAATATATTTTTCATTGTACACTAAAAGATAGTCATATATAAAACTGTATTCCCTTTCTTGGAAAAGACATATGTTGAAATATAAAAAGAGACCCAGAAGACAGATATAAAATAATTTGTAACTATAAATTGATTGCCATAAAGTAATGCATTTACTATCATGCATAACTTTATTAAATGGAAAATGTAATTAATGACTGGCATATAAAAGTTTCCTTCTTTGTTTAATGTAAATGAAATATTTTATACTCAACAAAAAGTTATCTTGTTTAAATTGGTCAGATATCACATGCAAAAACGTTGATAATTGTCAAAATAATAAAACTTGATACTAATTACTATAAAGGTGGTCCTCGACACATTTTGCACGATAACATAGTATTTGGATTAAATTTTTCAATCTGAATTGTTGTTGTATATATATTATAATTCTTTCTTACTAAATTCTGAGCATCTCTCAGTATCTTGTGAGGATCCATATCAGAATCTATTAAAATAAAAAATTACAGAAATTAAGAATATGCAATAAAATAATGCAAGTTAAAGCTGATATTACTAGAAGAATATAAATAACTCACCACAGGCTAAATGAACAGCAAGTGCATTTCTATCTATAGTCAAAGACCATATATGTAGACTGTGGGCCATTTTAACTCCATCCAAATTTTGTAAATCAGTTTTGATCGAAATATAATTCAAATTTCTTGGAAAACCTATGAAATAAGAATTTAATTAAATTCTGTTTCTTGAAACATTATTTGATATTATATAAAATATTTACCTTCCATAAGAACATGTAAAGCATCTCTCATAATAGTAAGAGTTGTAAACATAACTAATGCAGAAAATAAAAAGGTACAAATGGGATCTGCAATTTTGTATTCAGGCTGTAATTAATTAAGACAAAAATTTATCAACAAAGGGATATTATTATATTTAAAATATTTAATAAATCTATAATTATTACTTTAAAATGTATTATATAAGCAGCAACCATAACTCCAATACTCTGTAACAAGTCACCCATTACATGAATGAATGCAGCACGAATATTTATATTTTGAGAATTTCCTTTCTCTAAACTCTCACTATGTTCATGATCCCGACTTCCCAAACCGTGTGTGTGGGCATGAGTTGCACCGCAACAAGGGCCATGGAGAACAATTCCCATGCTAACAATAATAATAATACTTGATTATAGAAGATAACAGATTTTAATTAAATAGGCAGAGATAATGAAAATTTAACTCACACAATATTCATAGCAATACCAGATCCAGCAACTATCAACATCACATCAGTATTAATTTCATAATCTTGATAACGAACTCTGTCAATTGCCATATACACAAGAATTCCAGTCAACACCCAAATTATTAAAACACTAATAACAGCTCCGAGAATTTCTAGAAAAAAAATATCAGCATTTAAAAAGATCTTTCCTTATTTAACATATAACTTAAAAAATAAAATTTCTATTCTTACCTGCTCGGTAATAACCAAAAGGCATACGTTTAGTAGGTGCTTTCTGTCCTACCCAAAGCGCAAATAGACTAATAAGAAAACTAGCCAAATCACTTAAGAGATGAGCAGCATCAGTCATAATGGCTAAACTGTTTGAAAAATATCCTCCTAAAATATATATATATATTATCATGTTAAAATTATTAAAACTTTTAAAACTAAAAAAGAAACTTGTAACTGAAAATTTTTAACTTAAATGTTCTCTTTTAAATCAGTAAGTTTTATTGAATTTTAATTTTAACAAAATATTTAAATAACAGTTTACTTTCTATTAATGAAAAAAATAATGAATTAACTTACCAATAATTTCAGCAAGCATGAAAAGAAGACATAAACAACTGCTAATTATTAATTTTTGTCTAGCACGTTTTACACTTAATGAAACAGGTTTCTGAACATGACAGTGATCGGGTTCATCCATATCCTCTTCATAACTCTCATTCTAAGAGGAAAAAAGGTTGCTTTATGAGTTAAATTAATTTATATATTATAACTAATTTAGAATACATCAAACATTTGATACATCAATCAGAATATTATTCATTACAGATGTTTAATGTATAATTTGTTATATTTTTGTAAACTGCGACAAGACTTAGATATTGACTGTTATCACTGTTTTTGCCAGACTGAATTAAGTAATAAATATCAAATAACTAAATTTTTTCTATCTTGCAACTGACAAACCTGATAGGAATTTAACTTAATGGCTTCAATAAAATTTGAGAGATGACTTGCATTTTGAATTAGATTTTAATTGAAAAATGGAAGAATCAGATAATACAAAATCACTATATTTTATAATTTTACTTTAAGTATTTATCTTCTTTCATATTTAATAATAATAAATTCTTTCTTGAAAATTTTAAATATGACAAATGGTTTGGAAAATACACACAATGAAATTGGAATATAAACATTTAATTCCATATTATATTGTCTCCGAGTTCATCACTCAAGCTTTATTTCTATAATACAAAATGAAATTAGCCACTTACTTAATAGATGGAAAATATATAAATAAAGAATAGCATATTACAAATTTAACTGTAAAGAAAGTTGACGATAAAATATTCAGAAATAATTCTAAATGCAATTAATTATATTACCTTTATTATATAAATTTCCAAAATTAAATATATTTTTTTTCATATTATTTCCAAACACACAGTAGAAATTATAATTATTACAGTAAAAAAAAAAAAGTTAAAAAAATAATATAAAACCATTGTTATGAAATTCAATATCGGTCTTTAACTCAAACTCTAAGTTTCTATAGATAATGTATCATATCAGTTAGAAAGTAAAAAATTAAAGTTCAAAAAATTGATAAAAATAATTATTGTCTAATATTATATAAAAATTGATTTTATGAATACAAATAAAGTTAAAATGTAAGTTAATTAATGAGAATAAATAGGATACAAACAGAGTTTTATTGATGCAAAGAACCATCACTTGTATATTATATATATACTTAGTCAGGCCATAAATAACAGAAATATACCAATTCTACTTAGTAATAGATAAGCAATAGAAAACATAATGTGAGACTATTGATATTACAAAATTCAATATCAGTCTTTAACTATTCTTTTAACTAGTCTTTTATTAATACAATCATATCAATTTTTAAAATATTAATATTTAAAACAACAACTAATGGAAAGATACATTAATTTAATTTTTAATTTAGGCTATTTGTTCCAAGAGTTAATGGAATTTATAAAATAATACAATAAAAATTATGCAACAAATTTTGAATAGACTTTTTAGTTTAACAAAGACTTGACCTCCTTTGTTCTTTTGCACATGCTTAATCACTTAAAAAACATTGTTCAATATTATCAAGTAGCAGTATATCAAGTTGCATCTAAAGATTTATTTCCAAGAGCATAACTTATATTATAAATATATATAATTTTATTTTAATAACAGACATCAAAAATACCAAATACTATTTCTTTACAAATTTAACAGAGTTTGACAGAACTTCTTTCGTTGGCTATTACAAAATTCTTCTTGTATTTTCTAAAATACAGTTGACCCCCCTATAACACTGTTGATTATTCCATTTTCTATGAATTCCATTTTGTATGAGTCACTTAGATTTTACAAATACGTCTGCTGATCTATGAATGGCTCACGTATTTGTAAAATCTAAGTGACTCGTATAACATGGAATTCATATAAAACGGAATAATCAACAGTATTATGGGGGTCAACTGTATTAAAAATTCATTTCTAAAGAGAAAAATCTAGATATTGTGAAAATAAAATTTGTTTAATTGTTATGGCTAAAATTTATTGAAATAAGTGAAACCTTAGTCAATATGGACTATAATTTCAGATATAAAATTATAATATAAAATGGAAGTTGAATATTAGACTAAATGTAACCAGCAAAATATTTAATAAATATATATGAACCGTAAGTTCAAATCTGGACTGGATGAATCATTTCTTCCCTAATCTTTTGAATCTATTAATTTTGAGACCATTACAATCAAAATTATTTAGTCTTATAATCTGATAGAAATCATTAATTATATTTAGATTGTTAAAATTTTAATTAATACTGATTAACAACATATAATATTAATATAAAATGCACTTCTAAATTTTCCTTATAATCACTCAAGAATGTTAATAATACACATCTTGCACATACAGTTTATTCACTGTCTTTGACTGATTATAGAAAAAAAAAAATTATATTATTTGAAATTTAAATTTAATACATTTGGATTTAAATGATAAAGAAAGTTATAAATAAATAATTATGAAAAATAATTCTGAACACAAACACAAAAATTATTTTGCATCTATTCCACTTTTCCCCCACTAATATGAACACAAATGAAATCTTACTAATACTGACTTTTATTGTAGGATCTCACTATTCATATGTGATACTAGTTAAAATTGTTTTAAAGTATAGAATATATAACATTTTAACTTTTTTTAACAAATTTGTAGCACAAATAAAAAATTACAATACTGAAGGTAAATTTAATGATTTTTCCATATTTACTTAATGTCAATACAAAACTTTGACAATGTTTTTTCATTTAAATTGAAAGATGCTCTCCAAAAGTAATACTATTAAAATTTTAATTACACTCTTTCAATTAATCAACTTTTTTTATACCTTAGCATTGAATAATCTAGTTCAGGAAATGGTCATTATGAATAATTTAACTAATAAAATTTGAAAACATATTAAACTTATATTTTTCAACACTTTTAGTTGCATTATCAAATAATGTACACAAAGACTTAAAAAAAATCAGTCTCTATGAATATTAAGAAATTTATAAATACATTTTAAACAAATTACTGGTATTTTTATTTCAAACCATAAATAAATAAATTTATTTTGAGATTTGATGCAATTGAAATATGTTTATCATAAATTATTAACATAATATTAAATAAAATTTTATTTAACTACCATATCTCCTTAATTAAATCCCAGGATTCAAATAAACCCTGGGGAAAAGCATGGAAAACATGCTGAAGTATTGCACTTTATAGGGTAATGTAGTTTAGAGTGACAGGTAAAGTGGTTATCAAAAATTCTTTCTTCAAATTGTCTAGAGTTGGACAGCATTTTCTATTCCAAGGTTTCACATAAACATGTTTTGAAATAAAATTATGAATATTGTTAAAATATTGAGCATGGAAAAGTTGCATTTGAATTCATATGTTATCAGTCAAAGGGTAATTCAGAAAACTTGAATTAGAAAGAGATGGTGATTTTGAGCAGGAGTTGTAGGAATCATAATCTCAAACTTGATTCTTATGACGACATCAAAGAAAATGTGACTGATAACATAATAACCAAATTGGAAGATGTTGAATTGGGTTAACTATGAAAACAGTAATTATTTCAAATGTTTTAGCTGTAACTCAGAAATACAGTCAATAAATGATTTTGTCAGTTTGAAAAATACAGGTATTCCTTGATTAATGTGGTTAATTAATTCCTCAATATTACCACGTATATCAAAATCACATTAATCAAGCCTCAGTACTCAACCAAACAATCACCTCCTCTAGAACAAGTTTTTGGTTAACAATAAATATTTTTATTTTAATAAAAGAAAGTAGCAAATTCACTAACACCCTATTTGCCGAGAAAAATATCCATGTTAAGTAAAGAACAGCTGTTAAAGCCTCGTTAATTAAAACTTCTGCTGCATATAAAAAGTCATTGCCACAATTAATGCAGTGCATTAATCAAAACCATGTTAAGCAATATCTGAATACAAATAATTAAGGTATTTCAACTTCTACTTACTTGTCTCCTGTTGCAATGTAATAAACCCTGACCTTAAACTCTGGGAAATAAATATATTTTAAAAATAAACCCCTAGATTTAATCAAAGAAATACAGTTTCACTTTCGTGTATGTAATCTAAGTATAAAAACATGGAATAAATTTTAGAGTAACAAGTAATTCACTTACAATAAAAAACTGCAAATCAACTTTGAAGTCATAAATATATTTTGATAGGATTCTAACATATAAATCTTTTAATAGTTAAGTTAGTATATGATCATGTTTTTTATAATATAAAATACTTCTTTCTTTATTCCATGGTCAACACCAGTTGTGTCAAATATGCAGTCCAAAATACTCATGTGTAGCACAAACTAGATTCAAACTTATTGGGAAATATTTCATAAAAAAGTAATGTTAGAGTTAAAATGATTTGATCTATGACAGCATTTCTCAACCTTTCTAAGCCGAAGGACCAGCAAAATATGTGAAAAAATTCTACAGACTACTAAATTATGTAGGCCTAATTTTTTATTACCAACATTTGGGATAAACTGTCATTCATAACATAATAAATCTAAAAACATGTTTTGAATACAAATGAAAATATAATTAATTAACTTAGAAGTAAACTATTAAAAAAGAATCATCATTGAACAAAGTTTTAATCTTTATTAATTTAAGTTTGCCTATACCATCAACCTGTCCCATCATGTAAAGTACAACAGCTTGAGAAACACTGAGTAATGACATGTTAACAATAACAGTACACTTCCACTCTCCTTTTCCAGAGAAAGCTTTTAATTGTTTTATTGCTGTGTTTTTGTCTTATGTATTCTCTCCATTCTTTGTAAAAAACTTTCCTACTCTTTGCTGTAAAAATAGTTAAACTTTGTCTCAAATGATCATGCTTTCTGATTGGTAGATACCATTGTACAGTACAACAGGTTTTAGTAGAAAAGGAGACCCATAGACCCTGAAGCAATAGTTAAGTTGAGACAAAGTCAGCTTTGCCAGATGTACAATAATTATCTTTTTTGTATGATAATAGTTATTACATTAAGTGTAATATAGTACTGAATAAAAAATATAATAAAGTTAATGTTCCAAACTTTTTATTCCTACTTGCTAGCTCATTTTTTGAAATTGCATGTTTGCTGCAAGAATCATATCTATGTATGGTAATACCAAATCGGTACAGTAATACCCCAAACTTACACGATAGGTGGGACCAAGCGATAATCACATAAGTTGAATTCGCATAAGTCAGGGTATAATTTCCCAATTTGTGTAAAATCCAAGTCGGATGTATGTAAACTAATAAATGTTCTTGTTAATCTTATCTCGTCTTTTCATTTGTTCACGGTTACAAGAAATCACCACATAGAGCCTCTAAAGTCTCCGTAGATATAACAAACACAGAAATAAATAACACAAAATAAATTGTAGCTATGTGTCAATTCCGTGCAACACATCCAAACATATAAGCTGAACAATAGTGTGAGGGGAGTGAGTAATCGAGAGTTGCGTGGCACTCAAACAAAAGACAAATCAACGAGATTTGAAAATCGCATAACTCAGAGTTTGTGTAAGTCGAGGTATTACTGTATTACCAAACATATGTAGATATTTGAAACCACTTTTTGGGCTACAATTTGAAAAATTTGTAGATCTAAAAATAATACATAAATATATGATCCTTTTGTGTTTTCTTTAATCTGATACATTTAAATAGAAATAGTATTACCACCCGGACAGTCCAGGAATTGACTCACTGTCTAGGTGAACTATTAATTTTGTCTGAGAATTTCATAGAAATTGTGAAATTACGATAAAACAAAGTTTTGCAAATATTTTTATAAATTTGCACTATTTTAACAGCAAAAGAACTCACACTCACTGAAACTCATCTACAATTCTGCCATGTTAGTCTGTTTACGCCAACATGTGGCACTCAAACTGTCGTCAACTTTTTTTTTGCATGTATGATCATACATGTTTCTCCAATATCCGATAAATAGAGTTAAGTTATCTATCTGTACCTGTTCTTTCTTAATTTAGTTACTCCTACATAAGTCCCCAGTCCCTAACTGTAACTGATTTAGAACCGGCATGTACGTTATTCTTTGCATTGTAAAATGACACTGCGCATGTGTCAGGAACTTCTGTTCAAATAAACCTGACCTGTTATCCGGGTCAGCGATTTTGAAAAGGTGGCAAAACTAGTACCAGTACAATCAAAATAGCATGACACCTTCTCTATGGTCACTTGTATTTCTGGTGTTTTTGATTTTAAAAAGGTTTTGCCTCTTTAAAATCAAAAATACCAGAAATACAAGGTTTAGAACAAAAACAAACGATGTATATTTCTGGTGACCTTTTGTTTAGGCACAATAATCATATATTCTTCTTCTACTGGAATAGTTATCAAAAGCTTCAGGCAGTATTATAAAATAAAACTGTAATGCCACAATTTTCCTTTTACATTGTTGTTACACAATGTTGTTATAATTTTTCAAGTAACAGTCAACAAGAAGTTGACTGTTACTTAAAACACAAAGATAAATGTGGATTGACTAGCAATGAATACTCATCTATTGTTGTAGACTTCATTTCCAATTATTTGACTCCAACTTCCAAAAAGATAATCATATGGAGAAATAGTTCTGAAAGTCAAAACAAAAACTCCACTTTAGCAACAGTACTTTTGCAATTTGCTACCATGAATAATGAGCATTGAATAGAAGTATCTTGTGAAAGGCCATACACAAATGGAATTAGATTCTGTTCAGGCTTATACTGAGAAGTGATTGAAAAATCAGTTGATACATTGGCCAGCTGACTACATTCCTGTAATTGAAAGTCCATGTCAAAAGTCAGGTTCTTATCATGTTCATTATATTCAACATGATTTTTTAAGAACTACACCAATTTAGGCTTTATAACATCCATCCATCAAGGCAAGTGCACAGGTGATCTACGCATATGTCACTGATATGCATGTTTTGAAGCATGCTATAAGTATGTTACTGTTCTATATGATTTATTTTTAGATGAATGGGAAAATCTTGTTTTGTCCAGAGGATTCAAAAGAGTCTCAAACAATGCTCCTGTGGCATTACACAGAGCCTCCCTTTGCAATCAGTAGAGACAAATTCAAATATCTCTAAAAGCTGACAGTATTAATAACAAAGATATTCATCATTTCTACAACAATCTTAAGTATGTTAGCCAGAAATAAAAATAATTTTGATAGTTGATAATGATTATTTTTTTTATGAATATGTTATTGTATAAATGGAAAATGGCACTGTTTATAATGCAGATATGACTATTTCTGATTTGATGATTGATTGACAAATTGATTATTTAATGATAGTACTTTTTGCTTTAAGAAAGTTAAATATTTTAATTCTAATAAATAAAAGTTACTATTGAACATTATGCCCAGAAATGAATAATCAAACCTAAATATTGTAACCAGAAATAAATTTTGTAAACAACAACTTGAAAACAAGTAGTAAAAAATGTTTCATCTAGTACAGCATTCAGCTTACGAACCTTGTATCTCTATGGTTAAAAACTGACACAAACCATTTAATTCCATCATCCATCATCAACTTTTTAGGTTGGTCAGTTGATTAGTTGAAGTTTATGGGCACAAGAGCCATACAGGCTTGTTTCCAAAAATTCATTGCCACAAATGCAATACTATGCTTTCTGTAAAGTAGGTATTTTGGAGATATAATGGAGATACAAGATTTGTGAACTAGGCTGACAATTTGCAAGTTTGAACCACAGGATCCAATTTCTTCAAAAATATTCTTGATATTAATATCATTTGGCTATCAGAATACAATTATTTAGTGTGGTAACTTAATTAAATCATTTCAAAAACTGCCTAAGTTCCAAAATAAAATGCTAATGAAGAGTAGTTCATTGTGAAAACATTTTTATTTAAAAGTTTAAATTTAGGCTTACCAAACAATTTTTGAAATAATTTACTTTAAAATAATACGAAATGGAGAAAGTTAAGCTATTTTTACTAAAAATATAACTTTTAATATGGGAAAATTATTTCATAGTAAAAATTAAAAAAAAATAACTTAAATTTTGAACAACACAAATAATAGATATTTCTAGTATGATTTGGTATATCTATTTTCAATGTTTTTTTAGTTTTATGTATTAGTGTATTAATTTTAAACAAATGATTATTTGCAGGAATTAAATTCTTGAAATAAAAAACAATATTATATCATATTTAAATAATTAAAATATACTTTTAGTAATGACAATACATTAAAACTGCATAAATTCATATATTCATTTTCCAAATACTCTGATTATTTAACACGATATAAACAGAAAATTTTTTTATATAAATAGCATGCTACAGTTATTACAGACAATCCACGAAACCTTTTTATAACAGTGTTAGCTGTGTAACAAACTTCACGAACGTTTTCAATCTCCACCGAGGTCTGCTTCAGTTGGTGACTAAATGATGTCTGTTACTCAACACAGTGTTAAGTTATTAGAAGTCGTTTTGTATTACAGACATTTGTCATTAATTTCTTTTCTCAAATGCCATACAAAATAAAATGAATAGTGTAAGTGCAAAAATATATATATAATTAAATGTAAAATTCAAAAACTTTTTTGAAATCAACATCAACATAATGTTATAAAAACAGAAAAATTCCAAAAAATAATACTAATCTTCCTTTAATTAAAAAAAACAAACAATTGAATTAATTTAATTTTAAAAAGTGAAGTTGTAATTAAATCAAAATAGTTTTAAAATAAATAGATTATACTCATTTTTATAAATTTGAAAACAATAATTTATGTAGCAACATGTTTATCCTTTTAAGAATTAACAATTTTATTTTAATATTTACAGTTTTAAGAGATTCCACAAACAAGTTTTTATAATAGATTATAATTGTTTCTATAAAACATAAAAAAAATATAAATTTTAAAACACATTGATGCTTAAAATTAATGTAATAAATAGCCACCAATTAAGTTTATATTTTATCTATCTATACATAAGTTTTTTAATTCTGCTGCTTAAGGCTGAATAAATTTATGCAATAACTACATTTTCATTTTATAAGAAAATTATGATTTTATAACTTTAAATATTTTTCAATTTACATTAAAACCAAAAAATTATTTTACTTAATTAACTTACCTCAAACGCAATAGTTAATTGTTGTTTATACCAAACCATTTTAATTAGAGTCTTGATATATATTTATATTACTTTTCACATTCTCTTAATATATTATTATTATCTGTGATAAGGTAACTCTAACAAAACCTAATTCTATTTATTAAAATAATTGTGGCTTATTCTATGAGGAAATGTAACTATTTTGTAGTGACATTTCAGCCAATGTAAAATTCTGATAATAATCTAGTCAAATTTCCTGTCTAGAGCTCACAGTTAAAGCCAATTAGTTTTTTACACTGATAATATATATCAAATATTTTAAAAAATTTCTAATGTGGAAGGATATTAATTATCATGCTTTCAAATATTGAAAGTTTTTAATGTGGCACATTTTTCAAAATTTTGAATATATGCTTAAAATTATTTAATATTGTTTTTTATATTGATATTTAAACTAAACAATAATTATACGTTTTAAACTTATTATGTAATCATTTTTGTTATATATTTATTCACTCATACTTACATACAAATACAAACACATTTTAAGAGTTTTAAAGCTAATTTATGTATTATAATAATAATTTTTTTCATATCTGGAGAATCTATGGAATTTGAAATCTGAAGGCAAGAGTTTCCAAAATGGTTCTTAAAGACATTTTTGAATTTGGATTTAAAAATCTGTTTGGGTCTATTGAAAACTGTTCATTTAAAATTATTAGTTAAATGAGTTATACGTACAGTACATGAAAGTTCAGGGTTATAAATTTGCACATTGTAAGTAGATCTTTTCTATGATAAAAAATGTGTGGATTAATATTGGCTCACTGATTTAATTAATTTATTATTATTATTAATTAAATTAGCAATAGAGGAGGAGGTTAATAAAAGATCAGGGAATCCTTAGAGAGGTTGATAGTCAAAAACATTTGGAGGTCCTGGTTTTAAAGTATCTAAAAATTATAAGTAATGGATGTACTGTACTTTAAATTGTTTAATAGTTTCTTAAACAATACTTACCACATATCAGACTTTGACATATGAATTGAATTAATAAAATTTGGATGAAGGTCTTTAAACACAATTGAAAATGTTATCATCTATTATTATTATTATTTTTTGGTTGAAAACAAGAGCTCTAGAGCAGAAGTTAAAGTTTCTCAACATTTATTTTTGATTTACTTCACTTAGATTATATATGTTTAAATCATATTTCAATCTTTATTTGTAAGTACTCAAATTGATACCATTGTTCACTTAAAACAAAAATTTTAATTTCTTGCATTTGAGTCTCATGTTTTTTTGTATTGAGTTTTTTATAGCATTCTTAAAGGCCACTTTTTTAATTTTAGAATATTATGAATATTTAAGGAAAGTAAGTACTTGTTGGAAGATAAGGGAATTTTAAAAATTCTTAATGATGATAGAGATGTCTCTAGTATCATCATTTTTATTATAATTTTTCTTAATACACATTATCACATAAANATTTATTTTTGATTTACTTCACTTAGATTATATATGTTTAAATCATATTTCAATCTTTATTTGTAAGTACTCAAATTGATACCATTGTTCACTTAAAACAAAAATTTTAATTTCAATTATTTAAAAATAACCATAACAAAAATTTGATAATTCATTATGATTAAGAATAGATAAAAGAATTTTTAGCAATATGTGATATTTTGACATTTTAAAATTAATAAAAAAAGGAACAATAATATAATATTCTGACATATATTCTCAGAGCTTTCTTAACACAATTGTTGAAAAATGCAACAAATGTAATTACCTAATCCAAATTAGTTCTTCCAGAGTGAAAATTTTCAAAAAATTCTTACTCAAATAGTTTGGGTTAGATTATATTTTGAATCATTCTTAAAGCTTTACATAATTACAGTTAAGATAAGCAATGTTTGTGATTTCTAATAATCAAATGATAGTTATTTCTCTTAAATAAAGTATAATAGTTGTCCTTATGTGTTTCTAGAAATTATAGGTGGTCATTCCTAAGTTTACGAATGACCACCTATAATTTCTAGAAACCACCTAAGAAAGAAAGAAAAACGTATAAAAATATCCAGAAATGTGGTGTACAGGTAATCCCCGTATAACACAGGAGTTATGTTCTAAAAAATTGCCGCGTTATGCAAATCCGTGTTATACGAAACAAAGAGCTATTACGAAAAGGGGGGGTTAGGTTCAAAAAATTAAAAAACATGCTATTATATTTTCATAATTAAGATAAATACTATATATATAATGTTTTAGGAAAATGATATACAGGTAACCCCCATATAACACGGTAGTTACGTTCCAAAAAATTGCCGCGTTATGCGAATNTTCCCAATACCCAATTGAGTCAGATAATTGATACTCTACTGTATGTATTTTTATTATTACATATATATAAACATAGAAAGTATATATTTTTTTATTTTTGAGGTCTCCAGAACAAATTAATCAAATTCCCATACAAACCTATAATAAATTCATAATTGGATAGCGAACAAAGTCTTGGAACGGATTATGTTCGTTAACCGATCACCCACTGTATTTTATAACGTTTATGTGATTTTCACAATAGATAAACTGAATTTCTCATTTTTATTGTAATAAAATACAATTGTTGGTAAATTTTATCTATTGAGAAACTTCAAAGATTATTTGGATATGATTTTATATTTTTAAAGAACATTTTTATATGTTAAAATATAAAAGAAAATTTAAGGTTTTTTGATATTAATTTAGTTAATACATCCAGTTTTTAGTTTTTTCATTTTTATATATTTTTTGTCTTAAATATACATTTGGATAAAATGTAAGATAAAATGTAAGATAAAATTACCAATATTTGTTAGTAAACATGTTCCTAACTATTTGTTGTGTTATTTGTTGCATTGAAACTTGGAAATAACAAATTATGTATCACAATTAAATTTTAATTTAANACTTGTGCGAAAGGGGGGGTTAGGTTCAAAAAATTAAAAAACATGCTATTATATTTTCATAATTAAGATAAATATCTTTATTAAAATTTTCTTAAGTGATACATATTAATATAAATTAAACAATGTTTTCTTTGTCATCACTAAGCACTATTAACCGAGGGTATTTTTTTTTTGGCAAGATATCCTTATCCTCTGAGCATTTTTCTGCATTATCTTCAGATCCATGCTCTATCTTTTGCAAAAGATATGTTATTTTAGATTGCTTGCTTTTAGTGAAAAGTTCTTTATAAATTTCCTTACATGATGCTAAGCACTTATGAAGAATAAAGCAAGTATGGAATAAGGGAACAACATCTGGGAAAAAAAAAAAAAAAACAAAATCAGAAGCGTCGAGATCCGGCAACACAAAATAAGTTTTAAGAAGGACCATGTGTATCAACAGAAGGCAGAAAAAAAAATTTACATACTTAAGTACTAATAGTTCACGAAAATTATTATTTTTGTGAACTATTAGTACTTAAGTATGTGAAAATTTATTACATTTCATGTTGTACAAGGGTTTACCCAATTCTCAAACCAGGTTAGAGTGAATTCGTGCTATAAAAGCACCGTGTTATATGGGGATGTTCCCAATTCTCAAACTGTGTTAGAGTGAATCCGTGCTATAGAAGTGCCGTGTTATACGGGGATTACCTGTATTATTTTGTAAAGGAAACTACATTAATGGTCCAAAAGTTTCAGTGTTTGGATTTCCTCAAGATCCCAACTTAAGAATGAAATGATTAAGGTCTATGCCAAGAAAGAATTTCAAACCACAAAGTCTATGGTAGCTAATTTTTCAATAGAATATTTTTATTAAATTAACACAAACTAAATATGAATTTGTTGCTTTTATCATCATCATCAATTAATAAAAAAATAGCCTGTTATAAATTACATTACTAATTACAGTAGAACCTCCATTATCCGGACCTCCATTATCCGGATTTTCGATTATCCGGATTGTTCAAAATAAACAAAAATTTTACGAATTTGCTGATTTGCACTTGGCTAATTACGACACTGTTTATGTACGTGATGGAATGCATAACTTTTTTTGTTTCAACAACGTCTCACCCAGCACAGTGGTCGTAAACTCTTAAATATATTTTACGTAGTAATAAAAATATAACTTGACATACGTATTTATAAATAATTTATATTCAAATTACATCATTTCTATGACCAAGGGCGGCGTAAGGCATGGACGACGTGGGCCACCGCCTATGCCTCGCGGTCCGAAGGGCCTCGCGCCTCGAAGGTTTATGCATTACTTAAAAGCCGCGAACGCGACGAAAAAATTTTACTCGTCATAAAACGATAAATAGTTTGTCAAATTTTTATTCATAAAAATGCAGTTTCAACTGCTTTTTATTTTATAAAATCCGTCTTCTTGCGCCACCAGAGGGCCTTTTAAACAATAGGTAGTCTGTTAGCGTTGGTCAGTAGTAGTCCAAATTCAATACGAACGTTTGTTTCTTAAAAATTTGATCACGATTTAAATACAGTATTTACTTTTAATATTACCGATATGTCATCAAAAAGAAAACGTGTTGTATTATCATTAATAGACAAATTAAAGTATTTGTTTCGATTATCCGGATTTTTCCTTATCCGGACTACCTTCATCCCCAATTAGTCCGGATAATAGAGGTTTTACTGTATTACTTTTTGGCAAAATGGATGCCATTAGAAAAATACAAGTCTGTCTAGGAATAGAATACAACATTTAAAAATTATTAATGTAATTCTACTAAATTAATAACATACATTACGTAAATATTTTACTATTCATAGTTAAAGTTCAAAAGATTTTTTATGATGTTCTTTTGAAATGAAATAAGAAATAATCTTAGATATCTATTTTTTTGGCCCTTTATTAAATGATTTATTGTTTATTTTTATACATATCATAAAGTGAGATCTGTTTCAACATTTAATATTAATTTATTTGTCAAAACCATGTCTTCTTCTTCTTGTTTTTTCTAATTCAAGTCGTGACATTGAATTAGAAGAAATTTAATATTAAATTATATTCTGTTCTTACATTATTATTATAATTTATTAAAATTGTTTCCACATTGACTGTAGAATATAATTAATCATAAAAATATAACACACTTTCCCAAATGTCAAATTTTATACTATTATTCTGTAATTTTTTCTCAACTATTGTATATAGTATGTCTAATTTGTAATAATAAATTTAATTTTTTATTAGTTAATATAGTTTTTTATTTATTTGTAAATATATCTCAGCTTAGTGTTTAGTTAAAATCTATAAAAACTAAATGCTTAAAATGTTAAAGATGTCAATGG